TCAGCAGAACAAAAACTGTGATGAGAGCAATGACAATAATGCAGTGTACTCAGGATCTTGAACGTTAGCTGCTTTCAAGTAGTCATCTCCACCGAATTATTTTGGGAAAGAGAAAATAGAACAGTCTTTGCCTTCTTTTGCTCTCCCAAATTGTATTATGTCGCTTTCCTGCTTGAAGTTGTATTTTAGCCAGTGTTCTCCAGGAAATTTAGTTGCAGCATGTGAAATGTAGATTATGAGTGATTTCTTTCCTTCTTTTAGGGTGTGTGGGGAGCAGGGGTGGGACAAGAGCTCAAACCTGAGCAGGAGTCCCTCCTTGCATGCTGAGTGGGGACAGAGTGGCAGCAGTGCCCGTGGTGATCTTGCCTTCCGTCTCCACAGGTCTCATCTCATTTGAGGAATTCCACCAAACCTGGAAGCTGTTCAGCTCGCACATGAACATTGAACTCACGGATGACGGCATCAACGACTTAGTTCGCAGCATTGATTTCAATAAGGATGGAAACATCGACTTCAACGAGTTCCTAGAAGCCTTCCGCCTTGTCAAACAGTCACAGTAGTGAGAACCTGGGGAGGGTTGCCACATCCAATGCCTTGACTGTCTGCGAAGCCAGGGAGACCGCTTCCTACCTAACCGCAGCGCATGCCTGCAGATGTGAAGCAGGGGAAGGGAAGGCAGGTAGCTGTAGCACTGACTGGCTGAAAACAGTGATGGCCGTAGCCAACAGCTGTGATCCATTTGGGGAAGGTAACAGGTAACACAGATAAGCTGCACTTCAATTCTGACCATTTTTAAAAAGGAGCTGTGTTTTAAGTAGGAATTCCTGCTCAAGGGGAAGATGCAACTTAGTTTATCTTGTCAATGTACATAATGAAATGTTACAGGTCTATTCGAGTGTAGTAAAATGCAAGTAAAGGTATTTCTTGTGTTTTAACCAGGTAGCAACTGCTAGAGCACAGCTTTCCTTTTAATAAACAGTTTTTCTATATTGCTGGGCCTGGGCTGTTCATGCCTTCTCTTGTTTGTTTGTTTGTTAGCAGCAGTGCTGTTGCAGTGACAATACCTGCATCCCCTCTGTTGTTCCTTTGCTGTGATAAGTTTGTCCTGTAAGTTTGAAGCTACTCTGTGCAGTGGAGCAACACTTCAAAAAAAAACCTCTCTCAAACGTGCATAACTGTCTCTAGCAGGGGGGCTTTTCAAAGAAAGCTATTGAGACTCCTTCTTTTTCAAAGGCCAGGGTAGCAGGATCAAGTAGCCCCCTGCTAGAGCACCTATGCTGCATGTTCACAATACTGTCAAAGCATGGTACAACTGCAGCTTAAAAAGGGAGGGGGTGTTGAAGTGTCTGCAAAAAAAAAAAAAACGTATTTATTTCAAACATGCAGCACTAGCATGTCACTCTAGCAGGGGCCCTATGGTAGAAGACTTCACTGAGATTGCTACCCTGGCCCTTGAAAAAGAGATGTCTAGTCTCACTCAATTTCTTCTAAAGAGGAGGCCCCTGCTAGAGCCTGTATTGCACATTTGAGATATTTTGTTAATTGGAACCATGCTTCCAAAAATACTCTCTCAAATGCACAAGACAGGCTCTAACACGCTGAGGCTCTATTTCTATTTTTCCATCTTTCAAGTTTTATGAATGGAAATGTGTTTTTTTTTTTTTGGTGGCTAATGAACAAAATGATCCTGTCTCTACCCTGTTTGAGTTTTCTGCTGTACAAACTCCTACTACAGAGAATAATGTATTTTTGTTTCAGTTATTTTCAGTGACCTCCATAATGAGGGAAAAAAGGCAACTTGGCGGGGTGGGGGGGAAGCTGTCTCTCCAACGCATGTAGTAGCCACCTGCTCTGCAGTACTTGGTACCAGGTAGGATCTAAGCGACATGACCTTGTATTTTAGTTTGGGGACTGAGGCTGCCACACAGCTCTGTGGCATCGGGTTTGATAGCCTGTTACCTGCAGTGCCTGGAGGAGAGGGAAGTGCATTAACCTGCAGTTGTTCGCAGTTTCACTGCTTTGCTGATGTAGCTGAGAAAGAGCCAAACTATGCACAAGTTATTACAAAGTCAGACTGAATTTATTACTCTCTGGCAATTAAAAAAAGGCAGAAGACAACACCTAGACATTCTGTTGTTATTTGAGGGGCAGCAAAGCTTTGTATAATTCACATATGTAAAGTGATAAAAACATAACCTTCAGATCCTTGCAGTCGGAAGGAAGGACAGAAACTGGAAACATCAACTTCCTGCAGCTTGCCCCAGTAAACTGGTATTGCAGAGACCGTCATAGTTACAGCGACATACGTTATCTGTAATGATTTAAATTAGCTGTTTACATAATGATGTTACTTCATTGTTTTGACAAAAACAAGAAATGGGCTAAGCTTTCCACAAACCAAGTCACAAGTGGAACAAGTCACAAGTGGAACAATTCCCTTGGCACTGCATTTCTAGGACAATGCTGTTGTAAAAAAAGGAAGGAAAAAAAAAGGAAAAAATGTACAATAGTACATATAGTTTTATAGTAAACCAGTATCTGAACAGATTCAGTTTTCCTTCTTTTATTAAAGCATATACAGCTTTATAAAATATAAACCTTCCAAAGGTCAAGTTCAAAAGCTGAGAAGAGGCTTTGCTAATTCTAAAGATAACAGCCAAAATACCATTGCTCCTAGAGGATACGTGATTTTACCTCAACAGTTTTAGCCTTGGAAGGTGAACCATGACCTTGAGTAACATGTTCTGTGTAAGCCCAGCAGCATCCACCACGTCAACTGAAGACTCCTCCTCTGATGGGAATGCTCTCGTTCAGCCCATGTTCTATAAGTTTGATGTCCTCCAAGTCATCCTTTATAATGCTAATAAGGTGACTCAGGCCTTCTTGTTGCTGCTTCAGATGCTGCAGATGATAGTTGAAAAACCAGCATGAGCATAGTTCAACTTCACAGATTTTAAGTAATATTTCTCAAAGATTGGTGGCCTTAGCACATTGAAAAGCCGGGCATAGTTTCTTTGGAAGAAGGAAACCCTGCATTTTCCACACTAATAGCCTAACTGCATAGAGTGGTTTTGTATACCACCTTGATGCACTGTCACTAAGAACAATAAAAAGGACTTCACCATCAATTACGAAATCATGACATTCCAGATCAGTCTCCCAAGTTAGTGCATAGCTGGCTTAAACTATGAAGTTCAAAGAGTATCCCAGGATTCTACCCAGTAATACTTACTTGCTTGATTTCCCTTAAGAGGTCTGCATCTATGTAATAGCGCTCTTCAGCCCGCACTGCTCCAAAGTGGTTTTGCATCCTGATTTGGGACATGAGCTCATTCAGTCTGCCCTGGGAAGAGAATCAGGCTTAAATCAAACACAGCTCGTTTATATCTGTCAGAGCTCCAGCCTGTACCACTCCTTGAGTCACCAGGAGAGGAAGCATTGCCACTCATTCCATTTTATTTTTTTTTTTTTGAAGACATGCAAAGGGCAAACAACTCCAATACTTCTCAGAACTCAAAAATACTTAAATGCCTATCAGTCAGGCAGCAAAGAGCATGATGCTACAACCTAGTAACACTGCTGGACTTCTCTTCTGAAAGCTTTCCACAACAAACCTATATGCATGGTTTGGAAAACTTACATTCTTTTGTGAATAAAAACCAGAGTTGTTAGCCAAGTTCTGTTAACTACTCACCTTGAACTGTGTAGGTGCGTTAAGTTCACACTGAATTGTATCTAACTGTACACGAAGCTGCTCTTCGTCTGCTTGAATGGCGTAACCACTTTTCCTTTGGATCTCCTGCTTTATTAACACCTACAAAAGAAGCCTTTGAGGTTCATTAGAGAAGACTTTGCCCCCCTCTTTACCCATCACATGTCTTTTTGCCCTTCCTCCAGCACATGTCTCATCAAATTTGTTCTGTCATTTAGTGTGCTGCTCCAAGACCTCAGGGCAGTCCCACGGTATCTAAGTGAGAGAGAAGGTTCCCAAAGTAGTAAGACATGCTGCCCACCTGAAGCTTTCCCTGACAGCTCTGCCTGTTACTTAAATCAATACCATTTAGATGAAGTCAGAATTTCATTTTCAACATTGGCCATGCCCAAGATGGCAGAGGTCATCCTGCCTCCTCTCAGTTTGCCTTCTGGCACTAGGCTGTGTGTCCGAACGAGTTATTTAAACTATCTGTGTTACCTGTAACGTTCTGTGAGAAAGGGCCATTAGTTTCCTTTTGTACTGTGCAATTTTTGCCATAGTTGTCGTTTGGTTTTTCTGCAGCTCACTGATATCTTCTGATATTATCTGCAGAGGAGATGAAATCAGTTGGAAGTCACCAGAGTTTCTGATATCAGAACACATGAGTCCTTATTTGAAACCGGGAGCATCAAAACAGTATTCAGTCCAGCAACTTAGCGTCCTTGCCAAAGATGTTTTCAGGAAGCTTTTCGCTAGACCTCTACTGTTCTGGTTTCTCTTTATTTTCATATGCAACTGGGATTTTCAGAAGGCACCACAAAACTGGGTCCCAAATTAGAGTCCACACCAGTGCAACTTAATTCAGCTGGGTTGAATTAGCCTATAACAGCACAGCAAGCTCATTGTTGTGAAAAAAAACAAAAGCCAAAACACACTGCTCAGTCTTTGGCCAAAAGATGTAATTAAGGAATATATTAGGAAATAGTGATAAAGAGTCACAGCCCCATGCACTTGGTCCCAGTTTTAGTTTTCACCACACAGGAGGCATGGGGGGAGACTCATTTAATAGCACATCAACAGCAAGCAGTCACCATAAAGATGAGAAACCTTACATCTAATCGAGTTTGATGCTGTTTGGTCATCTGATCTTGGACCTTCAATCTTCTCAACAGTTCCTTGAAACCCACCATTGGCACAGGAATAAGCCTACAAGAATACAAATATTTCTTACAATGCGTTTTTATATTAGACACGTGGTGTGGATTAATAATTATGAATATAATCCAACGTTACAGATAATCTATTATAATTTAAGACAATACATAAACATATCTTGTTTTACTAAGTTCTAGAGTCCTCACTATTCCTAACAACCTGTTCCTTTTTCATAAGAAATCAGCCTAAGTTATCTGTAACCACTGGAGAGTACAAGGGTACAACACTTTCACCTGCAGGAATTAAGAGAAAAAAACATAATGGTTGCAAAACCATAAGTCACAAAAACTAGTCCCTATAATGGAGGACACCACAACTCGAAGTAATGCTCTTTATCCTGACAACCCTTAAGAACCTAAATAGGTAAAGGGATTAGATAGGCATTTCTAGCCATCCTCACTGCTTCAAATGAGATCAGCACTTGACAAACTTATTCTCTATCTAATAAGTTTCTTACAAGTTACCTGAAGGGTACTACACAATATTATATATTTCTCCCCTTTCCAAGTCTTTTTGAAATACTCAGACAGACTATTAGACTTACTTGTCAGGATCAGGATTATCAACTTTGGCTTGTTCCCATATAATAGGATCAACACCTTAAAAAAAACAAACAAATGAGGTTTTAGTATAGATAGATCTGAATAAATATCACATCTTAATAGCTGTTAAGCAGGAAAAATACTAGGAAAAACACAAACCGTATGAACTACGCTAACCTGAATGACTGTTACACAAATTAAGGTTAATTAAACAAGGGTAGTTCTTAAAAGTCTTGGTCCCGGACTGTGGCAGCAAGCTCAGTCCAAAAGGCTGTCAAGCATTTCTACTGGTTTGAAAGCATGGGAAAGGAACAACCCATAGGTCATCAAATTGGACAATCCATACTTCAAGGGGAAAAACTCCTGTTGTTTCCACTGTAGGCTACACTTGGGCCATCTTTCCTCTTCAAGTTGCTTACTGTATTAGAAAAAAAAATTTTTAAAAATTCAGTAATTAAGTGATCAAAATACCAAACCAGTTGGCAAAGTAATCCCAGTAGGAATTATTGTGGTCCCTAACAGGATTTGTCTAAGGATTCTATCCGTTGACAGAATAGTTGCTTGTTTTGCCATAAACTGCTTCATCAGGCAATTATGTAAAATAAAAGCAGTCTAATTGTACACGTCCATCAACATCACGATGGAAGTTATTACATTCTCCAAACCTCACTGCAAATCAGATCAGTATATTAAATGCACATACCTAGGTATGCTAGGGGAAAAAAAAAAAAAAAAAAAAGACAACGCTGACAGGGAAGCAATTGACTTTCTGACCAGACAGAAACATGCCAAAAAAAAAAAAAAGTGCCAGTAATTTAATGATTTCAGGCCAGCTTAAAGAGGAGACCAGAACAGTCAGCTACCATAACATTTTCCACTGCACAACACTCCAGGTCATTCTTCATAAAACCTATTGTCTTTATACCAAAACTCATCGCTCGGGGTGTGACTGCTTCTCTAGAGCTCAGCACTAACACCTCTTGCACATCTCACTGCTTGACTAGCCAGCCTACAAACTCAGCTTCCTTCTTGGTCATGGACTAACAAGCTGTGCCCAGCCATTGTTACGCAGGCCTTACGATACGCCTCCAATATTAAAGAAAGCCAACCTGCTTGTGCACAGAGTAACTACTTCTCCCCAGTGCTGCAGCAGCTGGAAAACACTGCTGCTTGTGTCTGGTTTTTTCTGCAAGAGTAAGCTAAGTTCTTTTTGCAATGCCGGTATCATAACCTTTGCTGTGTTTTTAAACCCTATGGTCTTACTGAACATGCTACATACTGTCTGCTGGGAACCACAGGCTGCTTTCCTGGGAGTTCACTGCAAGTACTACATGGGATGGATACTGTATAGACACAGAGAGTAAGCTACAATTATCCTATGCAATGGCATGAACAGCACTTAACTACTCTAAACCAAAGCTGTATAGGTACTAACTGTGGCCACACGTACAGGCTAAGCGACCCCTCTGAAAACTAGGAAGTGAATATAGGACATTATTTTTCTGATACTTAACTTGGTTTTTTTTTTTTAAATTGGACAAGTTGAAGTTATTTATTATGATAGCTCAATTATACAGTATGGTGTTGTGTGGCATACTCCTGATAAATCATAACTGTCTCGGTAGACTACATTGCGCTTCAGTGGGAAAACCGGCTGTAATTAAAGCCACTGTGTCAGTATGTCAGAGTGCCTTGGAAACTCTTGGAGTTTTAAAAGGTGTTTTCCAGTGGGCTGACACCCGCCTTTTTCCCAGAGACTCAAAAAAGCCTCAGCGGAGGCCCAACCGTGCCCCTGCGCAGTCCCAGACCACGTACCGGCAGGAGGGTTTTGCAGGAGCTGTTTGACTTGTGCCGGGGAAAGCTCTGTTCTGGCCATGGAGAGGCTGACACCCAGCTGCTGCAGGGACGATTTTATGTTGGCTTGTTCAAAGTGGGCATAGAGGGTCGTTGCGGGAACTCTCCTCGAAGTGCCGTTGGGTGAGCGCTCAACAACGTAAATGATCACTTCTGTCCTGCGCAAGACAACATGTGTACTGTCAAAAAAAGGTCAGAAGCATATAGAAACTAACCCAATAAAGAACAACCCTAAATCAAAGTTACCACTTCTCCCAGCTGACTGTTACCTTCCTTTAGCTGAGATATTAAGTACCGGTAAATGCAGAGTTTAACACAGCAAGGCAGAAAGAGAAAAGCTGTAAAGACCCTGCAAAATTACAAAGGTTAAAACCCCCAGTTTTAACAACCGTATTACATGGTGATATGAGTACTACATTAAGAATAATCTAGAACCTTTGGTCTTTAAAACAGCATGAACAAACTGTGGGAAAGTAAGAAGCAGAAATGTCAGTGTGCTAAAGTACTTCAGGCAGACTAGCCTGAGGCCTCCAAACAAGTCAAAGCAGACAGCACTCTGACGTAACAGATACAGAATGAGCCAGCCCAACTAGCCTCAGAGCAGCTTTCCCACTGAAACAAACATTTGCAACATGGAACACTGCAAAGACACTATGACTGTACACCCCAACGCCCTTCCACCTTATGCATGACCAAGTGAAGAATACCTCACAGCTCCTAAGTATTTCTCCCACCTGCATGGTTAGCATCCTCATCTCCAATTTTTGCTGCTGAGCAAGGCCTGGAGAAGCCTGTTTCCCGAGCTGAGGTCCTAAGCTGTGCGTTCCAGCAAAAGCACATAACATACACAGGAAAGATACTGAACTTAACACCTTAAGAAAACACAACATGAAGGAATGAGAGACATGAAATCAAACTCAGGATGAACAGATCTAAAATTAAGGAGAAAGGGAGACAGAGTAGAGTAAGCGCCAACCCTTTATAGCATGCAATACCAGTTAAAAAAGCAAAACTGCATGAAGTTCACATACTGGTCATCTGGCATTGTTTTAACACCTTCTACGTTGACAGTGAGGGTCTGGTTTCCTCCCAGAATTTTGTGTAGTGATTCTACAAGCTGCTGCTGCTGACTTCGAATATCTATTTCTTTTCTGTTAAAGACCAAGACCACAAAGCCATCTTCATCTTTGTTGTTGGGCATTAAACTGTAACCCACAGCCTGCAAATGAACGAACAAAAACTGGGGATATATTACTTAGCAAAAGCGTATCTATGTGGCATAAAGGGGAGAGGCTAAACACCTTAATTTTTAGAGCAAGTGGTTCAAAATTTAAGTTACAACGTATTCAGAGATACAGAAACATAAAATCAATCACCCTTTAAAATGTTCTCTCACAAGGCCACCAGTAGAGTAGCTTTTGAAACAGTTCAGATTTTTCACAAGAAGTTCATAAGTATCCATTCCCCATCTTAAAAAAAAAAAAAGCTATGGATTGGGAGATGCCAACTCAGCAGGGTATTTATACTACTTCAGAGCTGATATCAATCAGGAACATTTTACAAATTTACACTTTTTCTAAGCTGCAAAAGGAACCAGTGGACCAGACTTTAACACAGAAAAATTACTAGAGTTCCAGAAGAGTTTTACATTACATTTCCAGATGTTTGAATGAAAAACAGCTACTGACACAACCTAACTGAAAGATACGGCAACCATACATCTTTATGGATTTCTTAGCATTTTCCTACTGTAGATCTGGACAGTTTGCCTGGCAGTACAAGTCAAAACATGGGCATGGAATATTTCTACTAGCTAAGACATGCATCAAGTAAGGTTCTCACACAAGAATTTGGGACAGCCAATTTTCCTTGTGTTAGCAAGCGTCATGGTGGTTTTTTGTACAATTGCTTATAAAGTTTAATGTTATCTTTATCCTTGCTGTGATAAAGCTGTAGTAAGGTTAGATGTTTAATTCAACATCATAATCTAATACAGGAACACTTGCTGCCATCTGTGCTAAGTAACAGCATGCTTTCCCCATTTCAAAAAAGCCCTGTCGGCTCCAGTGTAAACTTCACATGACTAGTAAGGAAGATCTAAACTGTTAAGTCATTATAAGCAAAAGCAGAGCAGCAGTTTTCATCTCGTCTTGCCTATGAACTATCACACCAACTTATTGCTGGTGACTTGTTGGACAGCAGGTGCTTTTTAAGGCCCTGACACTGCATGTATGTGGACATCTTGTGCCTTTCTGCTTGTGCAAGTTCAGCTGAAGAGAGAAATGAGTTGGGGAAATGTCCAAGAGCCTGGTCTTTGTCAGCAGAGGGTATTTCCCCACGATGGTGAGCCTCGCAGAATCAGCCTCCTTTGCTTGGGCTGTCCCCTCATGGAACACAACAGTGACAGAAGCACTTTTCTTGGTTAAGAGCTGCATGCTTCTCATTTTTTCTAGAGCTGGAATTGTGTACAAGTGGATTCCTTGAATACATGTGAAACCCTTCAGGTGATGCTTCATTCTTATCAGATATGTGATGCTTACAGAGGCAATAAACCAAACTAGCTTACGATGCTTTGCTCTGATACCTGTGCTACCACCTTCTCCACTATTTTTCTCAAGCATCCACCATTGCTGGTGTACATGGAACTTCTCAGTATTTCGCTTAAGGTACACGAGTTCATAATGGCATTAGTAATACTCAAGTCATAGAGACAAAAGTAAACCTAGTACGAGGCATTATCTAACCTGAAAGGAAAACTTCTCCTTCTGGTAAACGAAACTCTAAAATAACTGATTTTGCATCACACAACTTATACTTTGCAATTTTTCAAAGCCCAGAGAACTCTAAAGCCATTTCAGGCACAACTTACAAGAAAATAAGCTTTCAGGTGCATTGTCAACAAAACACTCAAGGTAACACCTAAAAAGGTAATGCAACAGAAGCCAAACATTTGTTGTTATGCAGGCACTCAGTTGCTGCAAAGATTTTATAGAAGTGTCATGATGTGCATAATCAAAACTAGCCTTAATTAGGTATTAACCTACATTCAGGTTAGAAAGTTTCACTTCAAAGAATCAGCTTGAGAAAACCATGCCTGACCCAAATCCACTTTCAAGTCTGAAGCTTAGCAAGAAAGTCAGCAGGCGCGAGATTTGTGGAGGATGAAGAGCTACATCTTCTTTGTTGACATGAGAAGCAAGATCTGGAACTGCTGACGATATCATACAAGGAATGGAGTCAGCTTTAGTGCTGGCAAGGATAAAGGCAGAAGAAAGCTGAAGGCTGGTGTATTTAAAATGGTACGTAGGCAAAGCAATGAAGAAAGCCCCTGAAGTTCTTATTCCAGATGTTAACAGTTTCTTTCAGATGTGAAGGCTATTTTAAATAGTTTCTCTAATACTGTAACCTAAACAAATACACATTAAAATTCATTTCCAGAGATTCAGAACCACACATGCACTAATCGGAATGCTATCATAGAAAAAGGTTAGCTTCACGATCCATATATGCACTCATTATCTAGTACCTCAACAACACCCAGATTTCCAGCACCTATACGTCTTCAAACCTTTTAATTAGCATACATCAGAACTGTGTACATTACCTGGAAAAATACTGTTTCGAATACTCTTAACAGTAACAAAACCTGATTTAACACTCCTGAGTCATTCAGACACTCAGCAAGCAGAGCAACTAACTGCTTCAGAACTGTTTGTGGGCAGGTGAACAATTCCATACCTTAAACCTGCAAAAGGGGTTTTCCTGCGTAAACTCCACTGGAGCGATGTTATTGTTGAAGTACCCTTTGCCTGTTCCCCAGAAGGCCTGAAGCTGGTTCCATTTTGCCAAAATAGCATCTCTCTCATCTCCCAAGAGCGTTGGAGCCGAGAGGGCACTGGCTGTATTGATCAGCTGGTTCGCCTCAGGTGTCTGAGCAGGCTGGCTGAACAAGCCGCTTCCTAATGCTGTGTTGGATGAGGAAAAACAAATCAACTCCTTTACCAACCCAGACAGGCTCGCGTGCTAACACGTACCACCTGCGTATCATTGGTACATGTCTTTCCACATTTTGAGAAGCAAAATAAATGCACAGAATAAATCAATCAATATCAGATAATGCTTTTTAAAAGCGTCTTTTTACAGCCAATCTTAGTCAGCAACAGAAGATCGTGAATGCTGAGTCAGAAGGAAAAAAAAAATTTATTTTTTCTTTAAATGAGACATCTGTATTGACCCATGACATCATCTGTCACCTTTGATATCTAAATCTGAAGGGCAGATTTGTTATTATAATTTCAGTGGACTCAGAGCCTGCAGCTGGTGATTATCCAACTCACATTTCAACTAAACTCAGCACTGTTTTTCTCCCCTTTCTAGTAATGCCATGACTGCCAACATCAACTCTGTAACTACTTCCACCACTGCCAAACTGAAGGGGTGAATATTCTTGTTGGAACCTCAAGGGTAAAGCTCAGAAACTTGCTTGAGCTCTAATTTAAGAAAAAGGCAAGGCATGCAAATGTAGGCAGTTCAAAAGCCAAATTTCTGAGAAGTCTCCATCAATCAAGAGATAAGTTTAACAGCCTCCTTTTATAATGTACTTCTGTCCCGCCACTTGTGTGCCTGTGGCATGCAGTCTTACGCTTTCATTGCTAAGGAAGGGGTAAATCAAGAGAAAGCCGTACTTACTGGTCTGTTGCTGCTGGGTACCGAAGCCTCCAAAGCCTAGCCCAGTTCCCAATCCACTACCCAAGCCAGTTCCAGTTCCTGTGCCAAAACTAGTACCAAATCCAAAGCCCTTGTTCTGGGTAGCACCAAAGAGTCCTAGGGAAATAAGCAAAGAATTATTGAGAAGAAGAGCAGAACAGTACCCATGGAATCCAAAACATTGTTGTTAAGGGCTGATGCAAATACTTTCAGACTTGTACTCTCTTACCACTGGTGCCTGTATTGGTGGGAGCAGAAAAACTAAATGCTGGTCCCGCAGTGGTGGTAGTTGTCCCAAATCCTCCAAACGCACCTAACAAACAAAGTTTGCAAGTAAGGCAGACAGCACGTTGTGAGAAGCAGCTGTGCATAACATGACAATAAACTGCAGGCTTCAAGGGGTGTTATGAGAAGAGATGTTGACAGATGGATGCATTATGTTACAAGCATGTAGTCCACATTGATCATGGGTATCGAGTTCATTGTCCGAGGAAATGGGGGAGAAAACAAGACCAGAAAGCCAGTTCATCTATGGTGTGTCAAGAATGCAAATGAAAAAGCAGCAGTTAACTAACATCCTATTCCTCTACCAGCAGAACCTGCTTTCCTTCCTGACAGACACAACTAATAATAGTATTTGTCAGATTCACTCTCAGGAATACTTCTAGTCAATGTTGTTGCTAAGTGTTTAATAAACAATCTTACATTTTGTGAGCTTTTTAAACATTCCTAACCTCTTAAGAGCAAAAATAGAAATAAATCAAGCAAAGCCTGAGGCTAGGGTGCACACAATTGCCGTGCTTACGTGGGAATGCTGTCTCAGCAACCATTTCTTTCTACACACAGGTAAAATTCTACAAGGTGGGGGGTTTTTTTAAGCCTAGTTTCCCTGTCATCCTCCCCACTAAATCTCCTTTTGAGGCTCAACCACTATCAGAGGAGGACAGATGCAAAAGCACTCAGCCTTCCTCAGATTTTCAGGAAAACCCGCCACTGGCTAGCAGGAGATCTAAGTGAGGGTTTCAGCTCCACTATGCCAGAGAAAGCCCTGAGAAACCCATCTTCCCGTGTGCCCCCCCAGAAGAGGTGCTCAATAGGGCGGCTGTGCCAAGACAGGCATTGCCGGCCCGAGCAGCCTCGCAGCACACAAGGCTGCAGAGGTGTGGGATGCCACCACACCATCTCTTTGCTGCAGTGCTGCCAATGAACCATTGGCCCAAGGTGCAGGCTGTGCACGTCTGGCCTGGAAAGCCACGTTCGCTCCATTTCAAGCTGTTTTTACATCTGTTCAAATGAAGAAAGACAGTCTGCTACAAAGGATTTGTCAAAAAGATGCTGTTACTGCTAACTCACGGGTCAATACAAAAAAAAAAAAAGAAAAAAAAAAGAGAGAAAAGGTCTCTGTAGACCTACTACCCATACCACCCTCTTGTATACATACAGAATAAAAAGCTTAAACCAAAGCCGGCATGCAATTGCATTTTATTTTCATTCAGCAAACATCTTAATGCAAGTGTATATAAGAAGTTGTTCCCTGTAACGCTGAAGTTTCAGTCCTACCAGCAAGTGAGAAACCCTAGCGGGAGTACCATCAGATGACACAATCTTTAGGTAGTTTTGTACTCAGAACAAATTTAGTCATCTGTTCTTGAAAAAGGATCTAAGAGTGCAAATTGATAAAGAAAATTAAGTATTCAAGTTCTCTTCTGGAATAGTTCAAATTCAGCTAAAGAAATACAGTCCAATAGTGTTCATACCAAATAAACACAAAATCAGATCCCTTGAGTGCACAAAACAGGTCAGAGTACGCTAACACAGGGAGCAATGACACTGTGGAATGAATGTAATTCCTATACGAGCAGCGGCAACGAGACCCCACAGGCTAATTCTACACAAGTAAAAGCCTTAGAAATCCATACAGTTAAGCATTTTTATATGAAATTGAAAAGATTTAACTTGAAATTACATCTGATCGCTCAGAACTGATGGATCTACATGGGGCCATGAATGGTTTTCTTAATCAATACCCAGCGCCCCCCTCACACAGAAGACCCTCCCAGAAGCACAGAGAATCTCTTAACAAGAGCCTGGGATGCACGCTCTCTCAGGGTACAGAACAGCATTTAGGAAACAGATTACAGCGAGGGATGCCATTTTGTGCTGATCGTATAAAATTTGTTTCTCCACAGAAACTGTTGAGGTGTAGTGCATTCATGACAGCCAATGGAAGGCCAATGAGGAGACACAGGGGAAGATGGAAAACATGACTGCAGTAGTCCAAGAATCTCATGTCAGGAACCGTGGCGTTAGGGACCAGCTCTGCAATTGTTCATGATCGCCTGGATCCGAAGGGACAACTGACATTGCTGTTTTGCTAGGTAATCGAGGCCCAATTTTAGACTGGGTGAGACTAGTAGGTTATGACAATTCATTTCCATTTCAGAGACTGAGTATTTTGTACATGGTTATTTTTCCTCAACAGCTATTTCTTGAGAATTTAATAGGCAAAAAACCCTACAAGCCTATGGCTCTCAAACCCATTCCACTTTCAGAGCTTTTATCTCCAGTCTTTGCTGGATATGAAGATTAGTATTAAAACCAGATTCTCAGTTAGGAATGTAATTCTTGGACCCCTGCTATTAACATTTATTACAGAACAAGTATTTATGCATTATCTACCTGCACTTGCCAGACTGTTACCAAAATTGAATGGTGGAGTTGAGGTAGTGGAAACACCGAAATTCCCAATATTAAAGTTCACTGCAGGATTAGCAGTTAATCCGAAACCCCCAAAATTAAACCCACTGGCAGTGGAGTTTGTAGTTTCAAGCCCACCAAATCCTGACAAGCGGGAAGCAGAAAAAGAGCAAGGTAACATTAGTTCTAAGTAAAAGGTAGGCTCAGGGAAGAAAAGCTAAAATATTTTTCCATCACCACAGACAAGACAGGCATAGTTAAAAAACAAGAGTAAGATATTAACTGGCATTAAACATTATTTATTGAACACAAGGAGGACAGTTAAGAGCTTTCCGTTTAACCCACTCTCCCTACATCACTGCTGTAAGCATGCTATTTTTCAACTATACTGCATATAAAGCAGCTAACATTTTTTCCCACCTTATTTCAAAGCTATAGGTGAAAATATCCATGTGATTCAACATTACCGTTAAGAGTAATTTTTAACCGCGTAAGATTGCTCAATACAGCTGCATCTGTGCTAGTGCAACTGGTAGTAGCATAATTATTTCACAAGCTACCAGCAAGGCAAGAATAAACTATCTTCACGCTAACACCATACCCACATACGAGCAGCGATAGCAGAATAACCACAATATACAACTCCAGCAGCTAAGGCACCGTCCGTGCCTCAAATACTCTAGGGCAGACTTATTCTGTGCACTCCAGCGCGTGCTGGTGACTTACCTGATACATCCAGGTTTTTCAGCGCTAAGAAAAACGCTAATACAGCAGCTCCCCGATTCCCTCCCCAGAAGTAGCTGAGAAGAGGTTCATGCTAGACAGACAGACAGGCAACGGGAAGTCCTGGGGTGTGATCCCAGAATTCCCTCTAGTGTTGGTCTGTGAGCAGAATAAACCTTGTAACAGTGTACAAGCAGTGTAAGATTATCTTGTACTTAGGATGGGGCCAGACAGTCTGTGTCTAAAGCAGCAAATCAGACCGAAAGCCCACACAGTATAGCCCAGACTAACTGCAGCGAAGATGAGCCCTGTCCGAAGAAATTATTGAGAGTGTCTACTGTAAAAGCCAACAAAATTACTTTACTAAATGAGAGTAAAGAAGGCTCTTACGTTTCACCCAGACTGACAATCAATTGACAACAGCAAAACAGTAAGAGGGAAAAAGTCTTTCTTCCTTTACAAGTTAAGCACTGTCTTTTACACTGCTCAAAAATAAACTTCCAAGAGCAGCCTCTCACCCACAGAGCACTACGGCAATCAAAAGTGACGATCCGAGTGAGCGTTAACCAGGCACCGCCATGCATCACCACACCACAAGGGCCCGCAGAGCAGCAACTCACACTTCTTTCGGCGGGATCAAGCCCCGGACGCCTTTGGCCCCCCCCACCACGGCGCTAGGAGCTGCTCACGCGGGAGGACGAAAAAAAAAAAAATCGAACAAAGCCCGGCCGGTACGGTAGGGACAGCGTTTGACCGAAGGCGGGCGGGAGAAAACAGCGGGAGAGCTCGCACCTCACCGGCTCCGCCGAGAAGAGGCCA